TCCGGGTCGTCTGTTGACTGTTGAGTCATAGAGTCATAAACGGGTGAGATGTAGAGAGTTGAGCTAGAGGTCAGTCTGGACTAGATTTGCCTCGAGCTCTTTCAAGTCTGATTGACCAGCCCTGGAGGTAAGCTCCCCATAATAAGCCAACAAACGCAGTTAGCGAGGAAAATCACAAAGAAGAACGTAGCTCCGCGTCAGCCCACCAACGACTTCTCGGAACTAACTCCACTACTCGGATCAGATAAAAAATCTGCTGGCAAGGTCTAAGGTCCACAGAGTATACAGCCGAGCGTCGTGTCCGAAACCGGCATCATGTGAGCACATAATCTAATCTGATCATCACTTTTCTCCCGGCTTTTCCCCCTCGGTCTTTATCTCTTTCTCTTCTTCCTAGTTTATTACCTCCCGTGGCCATTATTCTCCTTACTACTGCAGGGTTTTAGTACTCTTTGTTCGACCCCTCTACTGGTCCCTCTCGCTTATCGGCTCGCATGAGCGCACTTCCGCTCTTCCGACCGAAACACGGCTCGTGCGTACGCCCGAACACTTCCGAATCTTGAGCTTCCAACTGACCCCAACACAGCATTTGATCAATTCGGTGTCAAAATGGCCACTCCTGGTGTGTCTTACACCCCGGCTCCAGCTGGAGTCCCCTCGCTGGCGCTTGCACCGGCGCCCGCACTGGCGGCTAAGAGTTCTGTGGCCCCATCGCCCGGTCCTAGTACTCCCGGCTCTATCACCTCGAAAGAATGGGTAATTCCACCACGCCCCAAGCCCGGCCGCAAACCGGCTACGGATACACCCCCGACCAAGCGCAAGGCACAGAACCGGGCAGCTCAGCGAGCGTTCCGTGAACGTCGTGCTGCCCGGGTCAGCGAACTGGAGGAGCAAATGAAGGACATCGAAGATGGCCACGACATGCAAGTGGCACAACTCAACCAGCAGATCAGTAACCTCTCCAATGAGGTTGATCAGGTCCGTGAGGAGATGGGCTGGTGGCGCGATAGATGTCATGCCCTAGAGAAGGAAGTTTCGATCGAGCGCAGTGCAAAGGAAGCCCTAGTCAAGGAATTCCGCTCATCTCTTTCAGACCCCAACAGCAAGGCCGCTGTTATCCCAGACTCTGTGCCCTTGCCACCTCGCAACCGCCCAACAACCCGAAGCTCCCGCATGGAAGATGTGGCTCCTACTAGCACTAGTGCCGACCGGAACAAGGAGGACGGAGAGATGAACGTGCCGCTCGGCTGCAACAACTGCTCCAACGCCCACTGCCAGTGCATTGAAGATGCATTTGCCATGCCTATCGACACCCACGAGTCATCCCGCTCTAGGCACCCACCTCATGGCGTCGGCAGCCCTACACGCAACCTCGGTGATCCTGATATCAAGCCTGACCCAGAGGAGATGGAGATCGACTTCACGGCCCAGTTCTCTGGCGTCCCAGCCCAATCACATGACAACGACGTCTCCTCGCCCCCAGTCGACCCCTGTGGATTCTGCCAGGATGGCACTCCGTGCATCTGCGCCGAGATGGCCGCCCAGGAACAGCAGCGCGGCCGCCGCAACTCCTTCGAGAACAACCGCCTCGCCCCGATCCAGTCCATCTCCCAATTTACACCACCCCCATCAGAGGGAGACGTCCGTTCTGAAGTAATCCTCCCACCAATCAGCCAAGCAACCAACCCCTGCGCCAACGGGCCAGGCACCTGCGCCCAGTGTCTTGCCGACCCCCGAAGCACCCTTTTTTGCAAGACGCTGGCAGCCTCCCGGTCAGCGAGCGGAACTCCATCGGGAGGAGGCTGCTGCGGCGGAGCTGGAAAGGACGGCGGATGCTGCATGTCAAGAAATGCCCCCGCCACCACGACCCCCGCGCGTAACAACACCACCCTGCCTTCGCAACCTCCCGCACCCAAGCCCGCTTCGCCCTCAGAGTTAACGCTAAGCTGCGCCGACGCTTTCACCACCCTCTCGCGCCACCCGAACTTCTCCCGCGCCAGCGACGAGATCTCCTCCTGGCTGCCCAAGCTACACACCCTCCCAAACCCTCGTGATCTCGCCCTCGCCGAGGCCCGTGGTAGTCGGGGAGCTATCGAAGTCGAAGCTGCAAGCGTCATGGGCGTGCTGCGCTACTTTGACAGACGTTTCGCTGAAAAATAAAAATAAAAAATAAAGAAACATGTTCCTTCTTTTGGAATCCATTGCGGCCGGGCTTTCATCTACTTGTTTCTTGTTTTCTCTTTTTTGTTTTTTGCCCGTGTTTATTCGCGGGACGACTTTGATACCCATACCCCTGGCCGCTCTATGTACCATCATTCGGACTTGTTTTTTCTTTTTTTTTTTTGTGTTCTGTTCTCCGGAGGAGAACCGGGCTATAGGCTCTTCTCGAAGAGAACAGAACTTGTTCTTGATTCCTTCATCACTCAAAAGCACATGTCTCATTTGATGTCGCCGCTCTCTACAAAGCATCGGTAGAGTATGGCACGGGCATTTCTGACCGCTATGAACATGGTCAGCGGTTCGATCCGGTGGGCATTATTCCTTTTTCCGATTTTTGTTTCGGCATCCTTCAATCTTCTCTTTTTCTAGACGGATCGACTTTTAGCGGCGTTTTCTCTTTTTGAGAGTTATGTATACAAGGTGGCTTCGTTATGAATGGAATGATATGCACTACACAATACTTTCCTTTCTTCAATATGTCCAGCAATAGGATCGTAGATTTCATCCTATCACAATTCTCAACCTCATAAGGAATTTCACCCTACGGTAGAATGATACTTTGGGAACCAAGCACCATACTTATCATTCTATGATTTCATACGCAAGATTCAATGATTTTGAAATAGATTAACTACCAAGCAAGCGGAGAACCAGACCTCGCTGTGACCATATCTCGTTATTAGCTATGTGGTAGGGGTGTGTGGAGAGTTTATACACGGGCTTCAGTGAAGAGAGCACCAAAAGAAAGCAAGACAAGACGCCGATCGCCTCTGTCCCCTGGATTCCATTCCCGGGGTATAAGACGTAAACAGAGGGAGGAGGATAGAGAGGAGAGGTGGAGAACGAAGATGCACAAGACGATGAGAAATGCTTTGGTTGCCAATCTCGGGCTTTCTCAGCTGGGAAGAGAAGTGGAATGTTAGATCGATCGAAGGGCACGAGAGACTTGGTGTCTCGATGGATTAATGGGTTGAGGGTGGGCTTGGCTTCAAATTGAAGGTCCCTGTTTCGATTAGAAGCGTCCGCCGCTGGATCGGCCGTGACCGCCCCTTGTTGTCACTTCGTCTTCTGGGCCACCGGCTACTCCGCCGAGTAGAGTGGCACCCCAGATGCCCGCGATACCCCACATCCCAATGCGCCAGCCGCGGTATAGGCCTTGGATACCCTGGCCTTGCTTCCGCTTCTTGAGATGTTGCTGGGAGGATGGCTGGCCGAGAAGGGTTTGAGCACGCTCTGTGTCGGATGGTGTGGAGCTCACGCCTTCCTCATAGACGACGTGCCACATTGTGCCAATGATGCCGCGGTAGGTGCGCGGAGTGGGGACAATGGTTTCAACGTCGGAGGCATCAATAGATGCCGCACGGATGCTGCCACCGGACGACTTCTGGCGCAGGCTCAGGGAGGTATATGTGGCGATCTGTGCGCGACGGAGCACCGTCTCGAGTGGGAACCGAACGGCAAGTTCGAGACCGGAGCCGAGGAATGTGCAAAGGTTCCATATGGTCGGGTTGAGGAGGGGGTCGATTGAAAGGTAAGATTTGAGGAAGAGCGGGGTCGAGGTCATGATGAAGTTGGGGAGACTTGAGTGCAGGACTGTGATAGGGACGAGGTGTGAGGGGATTGTACTATTGGGCGTAGGGAGCTGGCGAATAGCTCGGACGAGGGACCGCGGGCCATGGGTGGCTGGAGTGAGAATCAGGAATGTGCGAGCGGTGTCGATAGGAGCTAGAATAATGGCAGAAAGGGACGATGAAATGAACGATAGAAGCAGCGTCACCAGGGGAGAGGATGCGGTCAGAATGTCGGCTGTCATCGACGAGGAAATGTCCTCCTCGGGCAAACCGACGATTGCCGAAAGAAGACTGCGAATGAAGGTGTTCAAGGTCGGTAGGAGAAGAGAGTAAATAAATGTAGCATTGGAGGCCTTCCAGGGGGAAGAGGGTCCGCTGGAGGACCATAATTGGGAGAGAACTTCGGTCAGGGAGTTCGAGTTCTTGAGAGCCAACGCACGTGCAGGTTTTGCCGCAGACTCAGGTCGGATATAGCCACTGCGGTCGGTAATATGGTGCCTTGGTTTGCGAGACCGTGGTGTACTTGGCGTCGGTGTTGGAGGGGCTGCTGAGGTGAAGTAACTGCTCTCGTCATCGGATGATTCAGACTCCTGTAGGCAAACTGTCAGTAATCCGATATGACATTTCACACAGATGTATATCTGCTATCCAAAAGGTCATTCTTACCGAATCATAAGAGCTACCGCTAGCCCCCGGCGTCGACTTCCGGTCCCACTGCTCATCGGCGGCGTCGGGCACGACATACACCTGCAAGATGGTTTTGGCGACATCAAACGGCTGGGCAGTCAGAACCTTAGTGTAGCGCACCAAGGCCCGGTTCAAGGTATCGCGAACCCAGTCGGACACCGATGGCGAGGCGTCCAAATAATCGGCATAGTCCAGGTCATGGATGAGGTCGCGCGCCGTGCTGCCGAACACCTGAGCCGATGACGGCGATGTCACTTCGGGCGGAGCATTTGAAGCTGGCGATAGCCCAGACGGGGGAATGTAATAAGGCCGCAAGGGATTGATCCCTTCACGAGTCGTCATGTTGGGTGGTTCGGGGATAAAGTGGTCGGGGAAAGGAAGTCGGGAGTGGAATGTCCGTAGCTTTGTCAGTCTTTTTTTTCCCTCCGCGGCCATTGGACGATCACTCCCAACTCTCCCCGGATCCCTTTTTTCTCTTCCCCTCTGCATCTGCACTTTTGTTGTTCATTCCTCCCTCACAAAATGGTTTTTTGGCGTCAAGTAGGCCAGCAATTGTGCCGTGTACCAAAAACCGCCAGCGACATCGGCCTGACTCAATCGCGGAGATACATGACATTCTCAAGGACGAGGACTATCGGAACCACAACACAGCTTCGGTCAACTTTGGCCGTACACCGGAGCCTACAATCATCATGGCAAGGATATAGCGCAGCCCGGCGCTCTTTCTCTGTGACCGCACAAGCTGCGCATGGTCATATCACGCCGCCAAAGCCCGGTGAAGAGTATGTTCACCGGCCCGCGCTCTGCATGCGCTTTGTTCATGCGGCATGCTGATACATCTCCAGGATCAACATCACATTTATCGACAAGGATGGCAACAAGGTTGATCTTCAGGTTGCCGAGGGCGACAACTTGCTAGACATCGCCCAGGCGAATGATCTCGAGATGGAGGGTAATGTTGAACCAACAGTCCTCCTTCTATATGCCATGACTAACTGAACTGTCTCAACAGGTGCCTGTGGTGGATCCTGTGCTTGCTCAACATGCCATGTAATTGTGGAGGACCCGGACATGTTTGACCGAATGGAGGAGCCATCTGACGACGAGAACGACATGCTGGATCTGGCATTCGGCCTGACTGAGACATCGCGGCTGGGCTGCCAGGTGCTCATGACCAAGGATCTGGACGGACTAGTAGTGCGACTGCCGTCCATGACACGGAACCTACAAGCAAGCGACTTTGAGGCGAAATAAATACGGGAGAGGGTTTGGAAGACGCTAGGATCGTGAACAAATTCACTTCGGGTCGGCATCAAGCTAAAAGGCTTTAGTCCAATTGGACTATGTATTTTACTATTCCTCACACATCAAGCACAGTTGCGTATATCGCAAAATGGAAAATCTCCTGTACTATGTTGAACGAAAAGAAGTCTCCACGAGAGCAATTGTATTACAATGTAAAGAAAAATATACACAAAAACTATCCCAACGCCAGAAACATGCCATGGGTAATCGTAGGTCCAACTTTTACGCCTCCTCGATGTTCAAAGGCTTTCCCTTCTTTCCGTTGATCAACTCAAGGAATCCTTGTTTGCTGACCTCGTTAGAAGCCTTCTCCCGCTCGCCCATACCAATTGTGCCCTTCTTGCGCTCATCCTTGGCTGCTTCCTCACCCCGAACCTGGGCAGCGCGCACAGCGTTGAACAGCTTGACAACACCGCGCTGGGCCATCTTGCGCACACGCTTCTCCTCCTCAGTGACTTGCCCGGAGAGTCCTCTCTTGATACCCATAACATCGCGGATACGGCCGCGGTCCATTTCTTCCTTCTTGTCGGCGCGCATCTTAGCCCGCGCGGCCTTGTCGAGCTTCTCGTTCGCTGCCTCGCTGGATAGCTTCGCGGCATACTGGCTTCTTGACAGGACGGGATCAGCCCGTGCGGATGTGGGAAGTTTTGTTGCCAGAATTTTGGAAATGGAGGTTGAGAATGCGGTAGGGTCATTGCGCTTGGGGACGGATCGGCCACGGTTGGCGCCTGTGGCGGTGGGGTGGTCTTCGTCTGATCCAGAGGCATTGTTTTCTTCGTCGTCATCTTCAAGGTCTTCAAGGTCTTCGTCATCTAGTTCAATCTCCTCATCGTCGGTGACGTCTGATTCGTCCTCTGATTTTTTCGGTTGCGGCGTTGGTGCTGCGGTAGTCTTCTTTTTCTTCGCAGGAGGTTCAGTTGCGACCTTCTTATTCACTGAGACTCCACCATCGTCTTCGGCGTCGGAGTCTTCAAGGTTGACGGCGGCGAAGTTATCATTGTCGCTCTCATCCTCGGAGCTGCTGTGGTAGTCACGCTGCTTGCGGAATTTCTTGGTGCGACCCGTCTTGCCCTTAAGGCCGTCGAGGACCTTGCGCTTCTTGGAGTAACTGGGAGCCATTGCAACAAAATAATGTGTAATGGCGAGAGTGAAAAGAAAGTCACCGCGTTGATCCAAAAGAGCAGTATCAACTTTTTTTTGGGGCGGTGAAAGGCGACCGCTCTCCGATTGGCCCCTCCACATTGCCTCTCTGGTCTTTCGTGCTTCACCCTCACCCCTCCACCAATCTGGGCATTGTTCTTCTCTTTGATTTCTTCACATACACATTCAATATGGTTCTTCAAGATCTGGGGCGGCGTATTAACGCCGCCGTCAATGACATGACGAGGTCCAATAACCTCGACGAGAAGGTACGCCGTCTTGTTCAATATGCCGCAAGTCGACTTTGCTAATCCAATGCTAGGCCTTTGATGATATGATCAAGGAAATTTGCGCTGCTCTTCTTTCCGCCGATGTTAATGTCCGCCTCGTGGGAACCCTGCGCAAATCGATTAAAGCCAGCGTGAACTTTGCCTCCCTCCCGGCCGCAGTCAACAAGAAGCGACTGATCCAAAAGACCGTCTTCGACGAGCTCGTTAAACTGGTCGACCCCCACGCAGACTCCTTCCGGCCTAAGAAGGGGCGCTCAAATGTGATCATGTTCGTTGGTTTGCAGGGTGCGGGTAAAACAACAACCTGTACGAAGCTCGCTCGGCACTACCAGACACGTGGATTCAAGACGGCGCTGGTCTGCGCGGATACCTTCCGTGCCGGTGCCTTTGATCAGTTGAAGCAGAACGCTACCAAGGCAAAGATTCCATACTATGGTAGTCTGACGCAGACGGATCCCGCCGTTGTGGCCGCTGAGGGTGTGGCTAAGTTCAAGAAGGAGCGATTTGATATCATTATTGTCGATACTAGTGGTCGTCACCGTCAGGAGGAGGAGCTATTCACTGAAATGACCCAGATTCAGACCGCTGTCACACCAGACCAGACTATTCTCGTGCTGGATAGCACAATCGGTCAATCTGCTGAGGCTCAGTCCTCTGCCTTCAAGGCCACGGCAGACTTTGGTGCTATTATTATTACTAAGACTGACGGCCATGCTGCTGGTGGTGGTGCTATTTCTGCTGTCGCCGCAACCAACACTCCCATTATCTTCCTGGGTACTGGTGAGCACATGATGGACCTGGAGAGATTCGAGCCACGCGCGTTCGTTCAGAAGCTACTCGGTATGGGCGATGTCGCTGGACTGGTGGAGCACGTCCAGGCTATCACCAAGGACTCTGCAGGTGCTAAGGAAACGTACAAGCATATCGCAGAGGGTATCTACACCCTACGTGACTTCCGCGAGAACATTACATCTATCATGAAGATGGGACCTTTGTCGAAATTGTCCGGCATGATCCCAGGTCTGTCGAACATGACACAGGGTCTCGATGACGAGGACGGCTCGCTGAAGCTGCGCCGCATGATCTACATCTTCGACAGCATGACAGCAGCCGAGCTGGACGGTGATGGCAAGAACTTCGTCGAGCAGCCCAGCCGCATGGTTCGCATTGCACACGGCAGTGGCACCACCGTCCGCGAGGTCGAGGATGTCCTCTCCCAGCACCGCATGATGGCCGGTATGGCCAAACGTGTTGGCGGCCAGAAGAAGCAGATGCAGCGTGCGCAGAACATGATGAAGGGCGGAAACAAGGACCAGATGGCCGCTATGCAGAAGCGCATGGCTTCTATGGGTGGTGCCGGCGGTATGGGTGGTATGGGTGGTATGCCCGGCATGCCCGATATGGCCAAGATGATGCAGATGATGGGCGGTGGACAGGGCGGTGGCGGCATGCCTAACCTCGGCGGCATGGATCTGCAGAGTATGATGAGCCAAATGAGCGGGTTGATGGGTGGTATGGGTGGTGGTGGTGGTGGCGGCGGTGGCGGACGTGGCAGAGGAGGACGTTAAGACCGGGTTTGGGGTTTGGGGTCTGTTATCTGTTCTCTTGCTTTTCACATCGAATCGCTGGCTCATCACCTTAGCATCTGGGCTGGTGTTTGGCGTTTTCTTGCTTTATTCGTAATTTTGTACATGAGAACAAATTTTGGTATTAAACCTAACTTTACCATATATACCATCCTAAACCAATGGATTTTGTTTTATGCTGTTGATTTGGAATTAATATGGCAGAGACTGGTCTAGTTTACACGTTCATTTTGTACCCCAAAGATCTGTCCTTTGTTGAATGAATGGATGAGGACCAAGAAATAAGGAAATATATCAGTGTACACAACACCCAAAAGTGGTAACCAAGTCCGAAATAACGACTCAAGTAGACTCAGTAAGCCTAAGCCCTCTGAACTCGATCAGTGAGGTAATCATAATAACCTATCCCCATCTCAACAACAGACTTAAACACCTCGGGAATTCGACCAGCAGCATCCCCAACAACAGCCCCCCAATGATCAACAATCTGATCCTCAACAACACGACCAGGCGGCAACCGCAAAGCCCTCTCATAGTCCGACAAAGAAGCAAGGCCCGCCTCATCCCGATCCAACGGCACAAATAGCCGATACTTCCAAACAACAGCTCCATCAACGTAAAGCGAATAAGTAAGAACAGAATTGCGCACTGGCACCGGCGCCGAAGACTTAGGCTCCAAATCTTCAACTTCCTCCGCAATATTAATGAGCCCGAATTTACTATTTCCCTCAGGAACATACTTCACCAGAACATCCTCATAGTCTGTCTGGCGGTATGTACGGACGGGGAGGTAGAACATGCTCAATGGACCGACGCAGAACTCGTGCAAGCCTCTTCCGGGTGTGTTAGGCTGCAGTTGGGATTGGGGTAGAGCCAGTGCTGGGTCTGGGAACCGGGTTGCTGCGAATTCGTGGCGGTCTCCGCTTAGGAGGATTATTCGGAGGTTGAGAGTGCGTTCGGCGTGCCACATTGCTTCGAAGACCTTGGTTCGTTCGTTCGTGAAGCCACCCCATGTGTCTGCTGTGCCTACGTGCCAGTTCTTTGTGAAGGGGACGCTCGAGGATATGATTTTCCAAAGTGTTCCTGGTGGCTCTGGGGTTGAGATGTAGGTTAGGAGGGATTGGAGCTGGGCGTGGCCCAGGATTGTGGAGTTTTCGTGGGAGGGTTCTGTGCGGTAGGTTCTTGTGTCTAGCATGAAGAATGAGGCCGGGCCGTGGTTGAAGGCGAAGTAGGTTACGTTGTCTGAGGGTGCGAATGGTGTTTTTGGGACTGGTGGGTTGCCTTTTACATGGTAATGGATGAAGGGGTCTGCAGCGGCTGGGTATGGGGCTGTTTTGTTGCCCTTAGCCCAGTCATTTTGGATCTCGTGGTCGTCTAGCGTATGGATCCACGGGAGGTCGATTGCTCGGTGATCTGGTGCTCCGGAATTCCATGATGGTGATGAGTATATCCGCCGATACTCGCTGCGGTAGTGGGACATGGATAGTCCGAAGCGTATGGGAACATCGATGTAGATGAAATCGCCTAGGAACAGCATGAACGATGGGCGAAGTAGGGCTGGCAATTTGGCCAGAGCTTCGGTCATTTGCTCGATGCCTGGGACTCGTAATGGATGCCGGAGTAAGTTGTAGGGGAAGTTTGGCTTGAGACAGCTTGATGTTACAAAAGATAGCCGGTTTGCTTCTGGAGACCCAGGTTTTGGTGCAGTGAGAAATGTCCCGGACTGGTTGTTGGACAGCGCATATCGATAGTGTGTTGATGGCTTCAAGTTTTTCAAGGTCACTGTAGCAGTGAAGTCCGTGCTATTATCCAACTTGTAGATGATGCCCTCTTCCACCCATTTTTCAGGGCTTTGAGAGGCAATATCTTGGTACGAGACCACCAGTGGCAACCGAGCCAAATCTGGCTCTCGAAAGACTAAATTGGCCGTAGTTGGAGAGATATATCCAATCCGTGCAAAAGTAGCATGTGTAGTAGGGTAAAGCACAAAGCCACGGATCAGGAAATCAAGAGTCAACAATGCCAACACAACATTGATTATTACAGTCGTCCAGGTCCATAGTGGCGACCTGGCAGATGGCACCCCTGTCAACAGTGTCTTCAACGCGGAATCAGCGGGTTTGGCTGAGTCAGACGCTGGCTTGCTCTCTGTGATAATATATGGTCAGAAAAGGTCTCCAGTTATATGAGAGGTACAGGCTCACTGGTTGGGCGTGGCCGCCCCTTCTCTCTCCGAGTTTCATCAGACTGCTCCTCCCTGATTAAAGGGAACAGCGACGACAGATACACCACCAGCGAGGTAAATACGAGAGGACCAAATGGTTGACCAGGGATCTAGGGTCACTGTCAGTTCAGATTCATTGACTTGTCAAGGGATCCATACCCATCTCAGCAGGATCAGTGCCGTCAGGCGGATGGCCGTCGAACTAATGGCCACTACACTGCGCAGGGATACCATTGCAAAAACCAATTGCAAGACAGGTCACCGTGGCATTCTAGTTGAGTTGGTAACTCGCAATTGTGGAAGAGAACCACTTGGAAGTTGCGATGACGTCGACCAGAGGCTCCGGTAACACAAATCGTCCGTGCGCAATGTAAACATTCGAGTCGCATACAAGATGAAATGCTATGCTATATATTCACCGTATTCATCGTCTCTGGTTCATCATGTCTTGTAACAAATTATTGAGAGTGCTCGCCATCGGCCCAGCCAACACCTGACGAGCTGCCACAACCACATCCTTCATACCCATGCTCAATGTCATCTGAGCTGCCCACTGCCACGCATTCTGCTGGTCACCAGGCAAGGCATTGTAATATTCCCACCCCATAACGCCACCAAAGTTGGGGAACTGTTCGATCAATGTAGCCAAAACCGGTCCTATTTTGTCTTGCGACACGTAACCCTGCGACCCATTGCCCGGGTTTGTCAACAGGCCATACACGATTCGTCGCGGAGACCAGCCCTGAGCGACCATCGCAGCATACATGCGTGGATCTTCAGCGGGGCCCCATCCATTGTAAAACTGGGTGTTGTACCAGCTGATCTTGGAAGCACGAGCCTGCTCGAGTTCGCGGTAGTCAAAGCCTGACAGGTTGCCGATTCCGAGGAGGGCTGCAGCCACAGGGGCTAGGGTGACGATGAATGCATCGCCCATGTCGGCTTTGAGTCGGTCAATGAGCCGGATAATACCTTGCAGAGACATGTTCTCTTCTACATCAAGATCAATTCCGTCAAGGCCGTGGCGGCGGATCACATCTCGAAGAGGAGTGTAGGAACTCTCGAATTGATCTTGGCTGCCGTCGAGCCGTGTGAAAGAGCCCGGTGCGGCACCTCCTAACATCCCCATTACTTTGACGCCTTGCTGCTGGAGGAGGGGCACCTCGGCCCACAGGGGGTCAAATTTGGGGCTGTCGGGCGGGTCATCGTTGAGAGTGATATCCCCCGGTTGATCATTTAGATGGATGGCAGCGATGATAACATGCGAGATCCCCGTGTTGTTTTCGAGGAGTGGGAGCATGGAGACATACTGGCCCCCACCAGGGATGAGTGTTTGGTGGTACAAAATCACCCGCGGGCGCTCGCCGATGCCTCCTTGAATAGGTGGCATTTTCAAGGGTGAACAGGAGTCCAAAATTGCAAATATGTGCTGGGAGTTGAAGGTGCGGATGTGGGGATTTCGAGTCCTTAAATCTCAGGCGCCCTCAGACCCCAAACTAGGCACTACTACTGTTATCACCCGATCAATATCACTGCAACGTCAAAGTTGTTGGTCGGAGCACCTGCGCTCCATAAACTCAAATCGTCAACTTGGTCCCGGGGTGTTTACAAGTCATGGGAAGTACGCCTCACTTTGTCTGCCACTCGCAGACCTTATCAGGCCTCTGTATATAGACCACAACAGGATATTCCTTGCCCACGAAAGTAAGCACTTCTCTCATTTCTATATAGAGTGCTCATCTGCACTCAGGAGCCTAGATAGGGAGCGCCTGGGCAGATCGGCGTGCCTATAGAATAGTGTCAGGTCACGCCGGACATGATCATATCAGCAGATTAAGAAACATACAGCGCGCCGACAAATTGTAAAAAAGAGTAAGATCTGTAGATCCCCAGGTTGACTTGTGCTAGGTGAGGAAAGGTGATTGTATCCCGAGCTAAACTATTCCAATTGGATTCAGCACAGCGGAGGGTGGACCTTCCCACGACAGGGCTTACACGCACAACGCGTGTTCCAGAAGTACTTCGGAGTGGTAACTATTCTGTGTATAGCATGCATAGAGAGCGGATGAGTACAAGCCTTCCGAGCTTCAACTTCGAAATTACCACATATCTAATCCTTTAGGGCCCTAAAAAGGCTCTCCTAGCCACGGCTTATAGGAATAGAATGGGTATACTCGAACCAAATTATCAGAATGACCACCTTTGATCCCGAACCACCGCTTGTATGTTGGAACCATGAATTCAGAGGCTAGGTTCAAAGCGTTTGGGTATGACATCAAACTACCTAAATGCCGGATCAGTGCTCCAGCAAATTGTATCAAGCGGCAACATCTAGCTTGCCATCTTGAGTAGGCGAGTGTCTCCTAGGGTGGGTAACTTCAAAATATGCACAAATGACATGTCTCCGATATATGATAGGTACGAGAGACAAACTGAGCATCGCCTCAACTGATGATTCTATGGGGGCGACAGAGGCGACCAGGAGGCCCTCCTGCAGGCTACATAAGCTGGAGGCAAGCCCATCGGGTTACCCAGTCGCTCAGTGACCAGGAACATCTCTCGAAGCTGCAGGATCTTACATTTGAACATCACCTGAGATTATCATGGCCTTGATTGGAATCATGCACCTGTCACGTCCTTTCATTCGACTGGCTCCGTCGGTGTGGCCAGTGAGTGTTGGACTGAGTGGCAGAAGTGTTGCCACCGCAGCACCTTCTCATGCACATCCCAACCCTGGTAATTTTGCAAATCGTTCACACGACGAGCTTTCGGCGATGGGCCAGAAGGGTGGTAAAAAAGGCGGCAAAGCCCGAGGCGTAGGTGGTTTTCATAACATGGATACCAAGAAGCAGGTGAGTTGCAAGTCTTAACATCAGCAAATAGTTCTTTTGCTAATTCTTCTTGTGTCAACAGCATGCCATTGCCTCGAAAGGTGGCCGCGCGGAAAGGAAAGCAGCTATAGAGCGTGATGAGATTGAGAATCAACTGCGCCTTGAGAGTGAACAGCGCAGTCGGTCGCAGGAACCGTCAGTAGTTCCACCAGGATTCGAAGAATGGAAAACATGTGCATAGAACAGGAAAATACATTTGTTGCAGGCATCGATGCAGTGATGTAAATGTAAGAAAATCCCCGCTTGGCCCGAACGGGCAGCACGTAAACATTGTGGCCTGAGGCGTTTAGATACCCGTTTCACGAGTTTCTTCATTCTTTCTCTTGAACATCCCCCGCAATTGTTATTGTTATCTTTTTTGCTTAAATACTTCCTCTAACCCTATTAGTGTAGCTAAGAGGACTGTATTCAGCCTCTGGTTTCACCCGTCCGCGCTCTTTGCGCTCGATTTTGCGCTTGTTGCGCATCCCGGTTCGCGACAATGGCTAACACCGGTTATACGTCGCCCTTCCCAACCTCCCATGACACCATTGGGCAGTCAACGCTTGTGACGCCTCTGTTTATGCCTTCGTCCCCTCCGCAGAATTTGTCCAGCCCGCCAGACTCCCCGCTCTCCGCCGAGACTCCCACGACCGAGCGCGTCGCAGCGAAACAGAACGACCAACGCCATGCCAGCGACGATGAACATCATTCAGACAATGAACCGCAGAACATTTCACGTCCCGCGACTCCGGGAAGCCCAACCGGCTCAGATCTCGATGCGCGACTTGCCGATTACACCTTGGATTTTAGCAATTTCCCCAGTGGCCATTTTGCTTTAGAAGGGAATGAGGAAACCTTGCCCCCGTTTCATAAGGACATCGAAGATAAGCTATCTGATGTCGGGGGCCCGGAAGACTTTACTGCAAACTTGGAGAAATATTTAATGGGCGACCTTGAAGGAGCAATTCACGAAGACGACGACGTTGAAGTGCAGTACGGATCATTGCGACGGTCATTCCGGAAATCAAAACAACCTGCGATTGAGGAAGACGCGGATTCTGGTGAATACAGTGAATTCGAGCCACCAGTGGACATGTCGACTCCCTCGCATTTGTTGCACAGAAAGAGCACGCTCCCCAAAGATTCAACGCATCTCGAGGATATCGAAGAATACCCGGATGATGACGAGTCTGAGCATAAAGAGCAGCCCTCGCCTTCCGTTCGCAAGCCCTCCATTGCGTCAAGCAATGGTGCAAACGAGCGTGAGGCCTTGCGGCAACAAATTGAACAATTGGAACAAACCGTGAGGGAACGAGACAATCAATTGCAACAGAATCGCAAACGTGTACTTGAGGCTGTTTCAGCTGGCGAACAGATTCGCCACCTCCAGACAGAGTTGCAGCAAAAGACTGCTCTCCTAGACGAGGTGCATGCCAAAGGCAGCGACGAGGCCATGCTCCGTGAGCAGATCCGGTCACTTCAAAAGCAGAATGAGGAGCGTGAAAAAATGCTGCGCCAGTCTAATATGGGCGGCGCAGATCTCAATGCCCTTTTCGAGCAAATTCGGGAGATGCAACAACAGCTTCACAACCGTGATTCGCAGAGTGCCTTGGACACCGAGCGATTGGAAACAATTGCCCACTTGCGTCAACAACTTACTATTTCTCAAGAGCAATTGAAAACACGGGATGCTACTCTCGATGAAACATTTTCTAAGCTCAAGGAAATTACTCGGGACAGGGATGCGCAATTGCAGGAGAAAAACTCAGAGATCGATCAACTACAGGCTCAGATAGATGATTACGGCCTAGAAAATGAGAAGCTCGAGACAGAGCTGGAGCGTGCCCACAATGATTTCCAGGTCTTGGAAGAACGTTTTATCACCTTAGAGGACAGAAATCGGCCATTGGAAGAGAAAAACACCACGCTTGAGGCGAATCTTACTCGTGTTCAGTCACAAATTGAGGCCCAGGAAAGTGCTCTGAAAGCTGCGGCTGCAGATTTGCCTATTACCGGGCACAGCACCTACAGCGAGATCCTTGACTTGATTAAAGATCTGGGACATGGAGATGCGGACCCCGTGGACGGTGCATTCGCAAGCGTGTCACAGCCGAAGGACAAGCTCACCGAGGTCCAAGCTGTCCAGGAATTACAACAATCACAACAGGAGGAGATTGCACGACTCCAACGGGAACTGCAGGAGACATCAGCTGCACAAAAAGCCGCAGATGCCGAAACAGACCGTCTCCGTGCTCAGTCTACCGAAACCCAATCTCTCATCAAGACCATTGAGGCAGAAAACCTGCGACTCTCCAATAGGGTAGAGGAGCTGACAACGGCCCTCAACAAATCCCAGCACGATCTGACCAAGACAAGAGAAGACCACGCTGAATCCCTGGAGACAATCGCCCGCCTACAAGAAGACAAGCTTGCCGAACCATCCATCCCGCCCCCAGCAGCCCCAGAAACTAGAGAACCCAACATAGCCGCCCTGGAAGCAAACCACCAAAGCCAACTTCGCAGCCTCCAAACAGCGCACTCAACGGCAGTCTCCACCCTCCGCGCCTCACACGCCGAATCAATGCGCAAAATCCGCAACCTCCTCACAGCAGCCGAACAACGCGAATCAGACCTCCGCACCGACCTAGCAACCCTCCGCTCAACATCCACAAACCAAGAAACACACCTACGCAAAGCCTTCAAATCAGAACTGAAACGACTGGAAGCTGTCATCGCCACAAAGGACGAAACAGCCGCTGCGGTCGATCAGCGCATTGCGCTATCAGTCGATAAGCGCGAGCGGGAATGGGAGCGGCGCGTCGATCTCCTCCTTAAGGAACGGGATCGCATGGCTAAGGCTCTTATGATGACTTGGGGTGAAAAGGAACTAGGTCGTGGACCTGGGCCTCTCGCTGAGGGGAAGGAGAATCGTCGGAGAGATGGTGAGGGGAAGAGTGGACAGGCTTATCGGTATAAGTATGTTCAGAAGCAGAAGTCGAGGAGTGGGGAGGCTAAGGCTTAGAGTCAATCTTGCCTTGTCTAACCTTGATATTCATGGTGTGCTCTACTGAGACTTGATGTATCGATCTTGGTTGCGAATTGTATTGCATTGTGTGTCATTGGTTCTTTCAGCGGTGTTTGATGGGTTATCAGTTTGTCCTGGCATGGATTCTGGGTGTATGTATTGTGTTTTTTGCGATGCCCGTTTGGGGAAATTGCATGTTGCCTCGAGCTTCGATTAATTGATTCTCTTCCTGAATTTTGACTGTTTACTTATTTTGTAATAATGTTGACGATGACACTATCGCCTTAGAAGGGATCGGCTCCAGCAACGCTGATCGACTCACCCACCGAAATCCTGAGGGTGTAGATTGCTGAAGATTTATGCTATTCTTTCTTGATGTGTCTATAGAAAGCCCTATTGAAATACAACCCGACCATTAAGAGGAGTCTTGCATACCTTCACAGTAGGTAGGTGAAGAGCAGATCACATTCCATAAAACCGATGTTGCATATGGATATCTTCGATCCAGCACAACTATTGGGTTGGCTTTGCCTATAGCATATGACATACAACGTACTTATGTAGCCAATAAGTTGACTGGTCAGCAAAAGTAATACATAAATTCTGTAGATCCCCCAAAAAATTAGGGCGCAACCATTCTATTTAACAGCTCTTAAGGGCCAAAATCTTGATGTGTGTATAAAACCCCCATTAAAAGATAAACCGGTCGATAAAGACTGGAACATATTCCATAAAATGTACATTGCATATAGATATGTTAAATATCGTACAGCCAAGAATGTCCAAAAGAGTTATTGCATCCCCCTTACCTATAACATATACTGCACAGTACTTATGTTGGCAATAAGTTGGCAGACCAGCAAAGCCTTGAATGCACTATAAAGATGTTGCAGATTTCTCCAAAGAGTAGGTTCTGGCCATTTAACCCGTCTACTGAGCAGGCCTTGAACGGCCAACCTCTTCTCGCTTGGTATCTTGATTGAAACCATGGCGGTATTGTCCCTTTTCCTCAAAGTAGCATTCGTCATATCGATTGTTTCTGCATGTCCCTCCTGCGACGATGAAGGGGAAAGCGTAGTTTATCCCAGGTTTACACGTCGTATGCAGCCTGGGGCTCTGGATGCGGTAACAAAGCCAAAGGGACCTCTGAACTGGGGACAAATCAATTTTATCCACACGAGCGACACTCATGGATGGCTGGAAGGACATATCAAGGAGCGCAACTACGGTGCGGACTGGGGCGACTTTGTGTCCTTTACGAAGCACATGCAAGACAAAGCCGCAAAGAAAAAGGTTGACCTTCTGCTCATTGATACTGGTGCGTCCGCTCATACCATATCCATATGTCCGGATCGATGTTAATGCAATGATTGCAGGTGATTTGCACGATGGCAATGGGCTCAGCGACGCGACAACCCCCAATGGCAACGTCACGAATCCTATCTTCGAAAATATCAACTACGATCTTCTCACTCCCGGAAACCACGAGCTCATTGCGTCCGATGTTGCATACAGCACATTCACAAAATTCACCAAAGTGTATGGCGACAAGTACCTGACGAGTAACATTGATATTTGCAAGAACTGCCAAAATGGTGAACCGGATAAGAAGGAATGGGTGTCTATGGGCAGCAGATCTAAATATATCACGACGAAGCATGGCCTGCGCATCATGGCTTTTGGTGTGATCCTTGATGGAACCAACAATAACAAAAACATGACAAGAATCCAAACAGCTGCCGAAATGGTAAAGCTGGACTGGTTCAAGCATGCAGTCAATCGCAAGGACATCGATCTATTCGTGCTCATTGGACACAACCCAGTCAAGCCTGGAATCCCCAAAAATCTAAGCACATTTCCATTCCTAATGGATACTCTTCGGAAAATGCGACCTGAGATTCCTGTGCAGGGATTCGGGGGTCATACTCACCGTCGTGACTTTTACATCTACGACCCTATGTCCTCAGCGATGGAATCCGGCAAATACTGCGATACTGTGGGTTGGCTTTCTCTAGATGGCATCAAATCCCAACCAAGCAAAACCACAAGCCCTGAAATAAATCGAGACCTGGGCAATAAACGCACTATGGTGGAATCTGCCGACGCATCTTGCAACAAGACCAAAGCGTTCGATATGAAACTAACTCGTCGCTATCTCGATTGGAATCGGCTCACTTTTGACTACCATGCAACTGGATCCCAAAACATATTGGATACCTCTCACGGGCTCAAAGTGACGAAAGGGATTACAGACAGTCGG